TGGTGAGTGTCTTTCAGAATTGACTTTAGCGATTCTTTTGCCCTAATTAGGTTAAAGGAATACAGTTGGGTTGGATCTAAGTTCTAAGGGTGGGCGGAGAACTGAAGGCTTTCCTGAGTCTTGTGCCGGTCAGTTTCCTGTGGCTCTGGTGCTGCTGGCTGACAGCATCCAGGAAGATGGAGCCATGTCCCCTTCCTCTGTGGTCCTCTGCCCGGGTCGGGTGGATGGGGTGTGAGGGGGGAAGAGAGCTGAGAGGCTTTTAAATCCCCACCTCATTGCCTCCGTCTAGCTCTTATTTCATCACGAAGTGGAACACTCAGATTTACAGTTCTCGAGACACTTTGCACATCCACTGTCTCATTGGATCTTCACAGCAACCTCGGGAGATAAGTAAATTGTAGCCATTTTATAGGTGGGTAAACTGAGGCTCAGAAAAAGCAGAGGTGACGTCTGGATTGGTGGCTGCTAAAGTGGTCCTAGAGTTCGGTTCTCCCTGTTCCTGCACCGGCAAGATTGATCCACTCTCAGAGTAGCCTCGGCTGAGACTGGAAAGAAGTGCTTAAGGAAATGGCTGGTGAAGTCCGAGCAGTGGCTGGCTGTGAGGTGCCCCCACCCCAACAGCAGAAGTAGTGGGCGGTGGGAAGGTTGTCAGCCTGGTATCCGATTGTCAGCCTGGTATCCGATTGCCCAGCCCGAGTAGGAGAGAACCGTGAACAGTCCTGATGGCGGTGGCTGCCGTGCCTCCTAGCTCACCGTCTCAGCGTGTTTGTACCCGGAGTGGCTTTCCTAACACCATATTGTACTTTTGAGATTCATCTGTGTTTCTTAGTTGGATTTACTAAACCAACGAGTATTAAATTGTTTACAAAGCTTATCTGTAAAGCTCAGACAGCCCATTGTCTGGGTACCTCTCCCAGTGAAGAGCACTTAAATGAAGTAAATCATTTCTTAACAAGAGCTTCGCAGATTTAAGAACCCGTCAGTTTTTCTAAAGACGGTGACTGTGGTTAGTGTAGAGAACGCTCTAAATTGTGTTCTCAAAGGCGTCGGCTCTGGAACGTCCGCCTTCAGCTTTCAGGGTACCTGGGAGCTGTCCGAAAACACTTCTTGGGTGGTTGACACACTTCTAGTACATGAAATGTCTACTTAACATTTATAAATGCAGCCTCTGGCCACCGTTCAAAGGAGACCCACAAATCCCAGGTGGGATTTAATCAGAGCGAAGGCAGACCAGCCCTGACCTGCCTGCAGTGGTCTTCTGGGTGACTTAGATGATGGCGGGACAGTGTCTTCCTTGAATCCTGCCTCTGACCCTGGAGGATAAGGGTGCGATTGTTTTAATGTGCTTCTTACAGAACTTTGCATAGGATTATTATTATTATTACTATTTTTAATTTATTTTTTTGTGTGTGGTACGTGGGCCTCTCACTGCTGTGGCCTCTCCCGTTGTGGAGCACAGGCTCCGGACGTGCAGGCTCAGCGGCTGTGGCTCCCCGGCCCAGCCGCTCCGCGGCAGGTGGGTTCTTCCTGGACTGGGGCACGAACCTGTGTCCCCTGCATCGGCAGGCGGACTCTCAACCACTGCACCACCAGGGAAGCCCAGGATTATTATTTTTTAAAAAACCTTATATACCTATAAATTCTTAGTGATACTGAAAAGCGAGGAGAGAGGAGGAAGAGCCGTCCTTTACAGAAGAATGCCAGTTATAGAAATGGAAGGAACGATAGGCTTAGAAAGCCATCATTTTGTAGACATCAGGGTAACAACTGATACAGACAAGTAGCATCAAATGATGCTAAAACCACTGGGCAAAATGTTCTGGGAAACAGTCTCAAAGTTTCCCTCCTGAGGTTACTCACTCATTGCAAAGGAGAAAGGTACTGTCACAAGGCAGTGAGATGGTGGATGCCACCTGCTCCAGTGACCGAGCACAGCGTCCCCAGCACAGGACAGACACCTTGCCTGTATCCTGAGGTCACGTGCTGGGCGGTACACCCCACCCTGATGTTCTGCCAGAACGCTCCCCCTGAATCTTACTATGAGGAGACAGAAAAGTCCAGATTCTGGGATGTTCCTCAGGACACTTGGACTCTTCAAAAAAGGATTGTTATCCAAAAAATAAAAAGAAGTAAACGTTAAGGGTGGGGATGCAGTTCTACGTTAAGGAAGTCTAGAGGGCTATAATAAAAATAGAATGCAATGATCTAGGCTTCAGTCCTGGGTTAAGAAAGGAAAACAACTATACAGATCGTCTCGGGCTTCCCTGGTGGCGCAGTGGTTGAGAGTCCGCCTGCCGATGCAGGGGACGCGGGTTCGTGCCCCGGTCCGGGAAGATCCCACATGCCGCGGAGCGGCTGGGCCCGTGAGCCACGGCCACTGAGCCCGCGCGTCCGGAGCCTGTGCTCCGCAACGGGAGAGGCCACAACAGTGAGAGGCCCGTGTACCGCAAAAAAAAAATACAAGTGGTGGAATTTGAACGTGGACTGATTGTTATAAAATAAACTTATTTCGTGTGAAGTTCTTAGGTGTGGTAATGGTATTGTGGTTTATGTAGAAGAATGTCCTTTTACTTAGAAGACACGTGCTGAAGTATTGAGGGGCAAGATGTCACGATACTTGCAACTTCCTTTCAGATGGTTCAGAAAAACACATGTGTACAGAGAGGAAGAAAGCAGCTGTGCCAGTGTTTAGCAATTGGTGAATCAAGATGAAGGACTGACAAGTGCTCACTGTACTGTTCTTCCAGCTTTTCTGTAGGTTTAAATTTTTCTAAATAAAAATGTGGGGTTGTGTTGGGGGGGGCAGATAATACGCATTCATCGTCAAAAGAAAAACAAAGCAAACAACGCAGGAAACTGCAAAGAGAAAAGTAAAAATTGCCCCAAATCCCTCTACCTCGAGATAACCACAGTTGACAGTTTTGGTGAACCTCATTCCAGGTGCTGGTTCTCTGCTTATCGATCCATCTGTGCATTTATCCATTAATCCATCTGTCTACTTAATGTCTTCTGTTTTTGTTACCCTCTCTTTTTTCCTGGATTTTTTGGTGGAAGAAAGACCATTTGTCCTTTAGGATGCTCTACATTGCGTCCCTGTGGTGCTGTTTACCTTGTTCCTGTCTCCCTGCAGTAGGTCTAGGCACTTGTTTAGATTCCATTTCTAGGGTTTTGTTTTTGATTTGGCAAGAATATGTCATAGGTGATATTCTGTCTTTCCTATTGCATGACAGCTGGTTATCTTACTTTTTAATTTTTAATTATGTTGAAACGTGGTCTCGGGGTCAGAATTATAAGGGCCCATTAAAGGAAGTCCAGCTTCCATCCTCATCCCCTCCCCCTGTTCTCTTCCTTCCCGTATAGGTCACTATTTTTTATAAGCTTTGGGGTTTTTCCCTCCATTATTTCTTTTTCAAATATGAGCAAATATATTTGCATTTCCCCCATTTCTTACACAAACGCATACTATTCACACTCAAAACATAGCCTAGATATTCTCCACATCAGTACATAGGAACCTCCATTCCTTTTGTAGCTGTGTAAAACGCCGTTCTATGGGGTAGGTATTGCCGTGTTTTATTCAACCCGTCTCCTGCTAGACATTGGGGTTATTACCAGACCTGCAATTATAAATAGTGCTGAACTCAGTGGTTTGTGACCACCTAGATGGGTGGGATAGGGAGGGTGGGAGGGAGGGAGACGCAAGAGGGAAGAGATATGGGAACATATGTATATGTATAACTGATTCACTTTGTTATAAAGCAGAAACTAACACACCATTGTAAAGCAATTATACTCCAATAAAGACGTTTAAAAAAATAAATTAATAAATAAATAGTGCTGAAATGAATAGCCTTGTGCATAGATCATTTTAAATTTTTGCCAGGGGTGGATTGCTGAGAGATTGCTCAGGGTCAAGAAGGGAGATTGCTCAGGGTCAAAGGGCAAGTGCATATGTAATTTTGCTGGATATTACCAAATTCCCCACCATAGGGGTTTGTATTATTTTGCATTCCCACCAGCAGCATATGAAGGACACAGCATCTTTTTTGATAGTGGAACCGTATACTGTAATATGGTCTTGGAAAAGTAAAGCAGACCTGGATATGAGGGCTAGCTCTGCTTCTTAGCTGTGTGTCCCTGGACAAGTTACTTAATCTCTCTGAATCTTGGTTTCCTCTCTATCGAATGGGAGTAATAGTTGTCTGAGGCGTTATTTTCTTTTTTTTTTTTTGCGGTACGCGGGCCTCTCACTGTTGTGGCCTCTGCCGTTGCGGAGCACAGGCTCCGGACGCACAGGCTCAGCGGCCATGGCTGACGTGCCCAGCCGCTCCGCGGCATGTGGGATCTTCCTGGACCGGGGCACGAACCCGCGTCCCCTGCATCGGCAGGCGGACTCTCAACCACTGCGCCACAAGGGAAGCCCCTGAGGTGTTATTTTGACAATGAGTCAAGATAACGCAGGTAAAATGCTCTCCACCCTGTCTGGTGTGTAGTGAGCGCTCAGTACCTGTCGGCTGGGGCTACTCTTGGTGTGACTTGTGCTTGGAGGTGAATGCCAGGTGTACCTTTATTGCCAAAGACTGGAAGGTTCCCATTTTCTAGTCTCTCTGCCAGAATGGCCAGAAATCAGAGAGCAGAGTCTTTGCTCTTGAGATGGCAACCAGCTGAAAAGAAGAGAAAAAAAAAAAAATCTCCATTGTTTTTATACTTTTTGTCTGTCTGGTTGATGACTGTCTGATAATGACTTATTTCAGTTCTCAGGCCTATATGCAGATGATGTTCTTTTAGTGAAGTGGGCTGTGGCTGCCTCACCTGCGGGTTCTATAGAGCTAGCCTCTAAATTGGAATTTTACCCACAGGTGGACGTCAGTGGGTCCCTGAAGTTGTGCACATTCCTGGGGCGTGAGCCCTCAGAGTTTGCATTAGATCATCAAATGGATCCATGACCCCAAAAAGGTTGAGAAACTCTGTCCTAAGCCATATTCTTTTCTGTTTTGAAGGATGTTGCGGCTCGGGGCTTAGATCTCCCTCAAGTCACGTGGATTGTCCAGGTAATGTATTTAAGCTGTTAAGGTGCGAGCTCGAGGCCAGAACATGTGATCGTGAGCAGGTGCATTGGCTTTAAGTAGAATAATTATTATCACCCTCTTGGGTGTTGCCCTGGTCACCAGGCAGCCACCAGCCCGATCTGCACAGTTCTTCTGGCATCTTTCCTTAACCCAGCCCACCTGACCACTGCCGCACAGCCTGCAGACTGTACAGCCTTGGGAGGGAGGGGCAGGCTCCCCTGCTCACAGACTAATGTGTGTCACACGCAGAGTTTGCAGCAATCTGAAAATAACAGGAATTACCTGGGCCCCTGGGAGGCCTCATCGTGTCCAGAAGGCGATGGCTCAGCTGTCCTGAGAGCTGTGTCCATGCACATTGACCTGCAGGGGGCAATTAAGGCCCTGACAGCATCTTACACATACCTCTAGCCTTAGATGCCTTGCCAGAGGGTAGAGGTGTTAGCGCTAGTCTAGTGGTTTTAGTTCTGTTTTTTCCTTTCCTTAGTCTGCAGAGTGGTATCTTTAAGCCCTCTGTACGGGGGCCAGGGGACAGGGCCCTGTTTACGTGAGTCGTGGTTTATTCACATTTTAGTGGAGTTGCAGGCCTGTCACCAGCTAGGAAATCTCTGCTTACGGCACGTGATGACTTTGCGACTAGAGGCATTGTGTCGTCTTTCCTGCTGTCCATGGAGCAGATTTGAAACAGGAAGGCGAGGATGATTTTAATGTGCAGGAGGCCAGACACATAGAATTGATCATTGAGAGCCTTCTTATAATTGTGGGTATTGATTAGTTTAATATGCCTGGCCTCCCATCATATTCCTGGCCCTCTGGTCTTTGATTCATGTAGCAGCAAAGAAGAAAAGGGCAGAATGAGTAGAGGGACAATTGGTGTTGGCGACGATGGCGCTATTGCCATAGGGAGCGTCCGTTCTGCTGAGTTAGAGCATTGGCCCTTCTGCCGGGGCAGGAACACTGTCCGTGGGAGCAGAGGCGTTTCCCTGCAGGAAGGGGAACCTGCCTCTCAACCGGCCTGCAGCTCTGCTCCATTGGGACTGGGTAGCCTGCAGCGAGGCGGTGGAGACCTGATTCTCTGTACGCTGTGCAGCGTCTTTCATGGCCTCAGCCCCACTGCTCTGTCTACTGAGGAAGTAGGCCAAGGTCGTGCGGCCATCCTGCGCGAGTTTGCGCCCACCTGCCTGCATTCTCACCTTGCCCAGTCACCTCAGTGAAAAGATGCAAATAGGAAAATGAAGAGACCTGTGGAGAAGTGAAATTAAATAGGAGATACCGGGACGAGAAGACGTCTCGTTTATCTGAAACTTGGCCACTGTTCCCGTTGGCGTGTTGGAGCCTTGTTATTTCCAACGAAGCCAGGAGTTTCAGGGTTGAGTGACTTCTCCTTGTGATTGTGGTAGGGTAACCATAGCACCAGGATTTAATTCTTGGGATACCTGGAGGCAGGTGAGGGGTATTGCACTTCCAATTAATGGCAGTCCCTTGATCTGCGAATGCCTTCATTTTTGTTACCCTTTTTAGTACAACGCTCCATCTTCACCTGCTGAATACATCCACCGGATTGGGAGAACCGCCCGGATTGGCTGCCATGGGAGCAGCCTGCTCATTTTGGCTCCTTCGGAGGCAGAATATGTCAACTCGTTGGCTTCTCACAAAATCAAGTGAGTCAGAAACACGGGGTTTCGGCTGATCTCACCTAATTAATTTTCTGTCGCCTCTTACAGTGGATGGGCCTTGTAAGCTGACGAGGAGCCATTAACCCTTGTGATCCCTAAGTGAGTCCCAGAATAGCCAGTGGCAAAGACTGAAACCCTTAACGCCATCAGCACATGACAGTTTTCATTGCGTTGCCATTCGAAGGCGTAGAACGATCCGTTGCGCTCTTTCTTTCAGGTAGAGGTCTGTGTTGCTTTGCTCCTGCTGCGAAATCAGTGTGCACCACCCGCCCAGCCAGCTTCTCAAAGATCTCTCTTAGTCACCATTTTTGCTTCTTGCAGTTAATTAACGCTTAGGACCTTTAAAGGTGGAAAAAAATAATGCTTTTGATCCTTTACACAACTCCCCCTCCCCCAGGAAAGGAAAACGAGGGAAGAAACCATTAGGGGCAGGAGAATTATGTACCACGTGTTTGTGGCCAAGGCTGTCCAGCTGCTGTCTCGTGTGCACCCAGTCAGGTGGCAGCCTCTCACATCCCCCAGCGTCAAGCCCCCAGTTCCAGCCCTGGGTCAGGGACTCCACAGGGCTCAGCAGCATGGAACCTTCGCCAGGGGCTTCCATCGAACCCCGATCTCCCCGAGGAAAGACAAAGAAAGCAAAGACAGAGGACAGCGGCTCGAGCTGGCCAGGGGTGATTGTGATGAAAGCAGAGAGCATCCACCTGGGCCACGGAAATGAGTTGGTTTAGTCATGTTTTCCATAAAATCTAAAGTAACAGGCTCTAAAAATGGGCTTCTAAAGGCATGCGGTTTTTCACACTGATCTACTTTCACGAATTTCTTCTGCTCAGAGAAAGCACAGTGATGCATAGAATGTTTTTGGAGGCACAGAAAGAGCTGTGTGATGCCCAAGGTGGTGGCACGGTACACGCCGGGCACAGGAGTGGCCCAGCTGCTCAGAAGCCACTCGGTGACTTCCCCTGTCCCCAGTCAGACTTCAACACTCTCAACACTC